AGATGCGTGAAGACTCCTTGCTCCATGCTTTCAAGATGCAAGGAGGGGTGGAAGAAGGTGTTAGCTATGCCATAAATAAAGCAAAAGAGCTACAGATGCTCCTGTGTCAGAGGCCTAGGTTCCCCGTAAGGATCAAGATGTTTTTTCTTTGTCCAGTCTGAATTTATTACATTTCAAACCTGGGGGGTTCTATCTGTTCTTTTGTTTTCGTCTTAGGAGGAGGGATGGAGACAGCCAGCCATATCCTCCATCTGGCGATAGTTCTGGGATAGGATCTTTGCAGCCACGTCCATTTCTTTTGGCGCGTGTGGTGAAATTGCCGTTTCCCTATTCTTTTCTGCTTGCCGCTTTCTAGTCTGAGGAATGTTTTTTTCTTTGCCCCGTAACATCACGGCTGCATGGTCACTTTTTGGTGAAGGACTTTCTCAAGTCATTGTGCATCTATGAGATAAATTAGATTAGGAAATGCCCTCTTCCTTGTTTGCTGGGAAAGGAAGGGGGCTCTTTTGTCACCTAGGGCAAGAGAAGACAGAACCTGCCCTTTTCCACCCTCCAGTGCTCAGACCGGCCTGTGCTGCCCCTTTCACCTGGCAACGAGGGACAGCTCACCTCCTCTGTTTTATGTCTTCCTCAGTGCTGACAGTTGGCTCAGTGGAGTTAGTGGGTGCCGTGGTTTAACACAAAAACAGTTTGCACAGCAAATTGCAAAAACCAACACTAACTTCTAACACATACAGCAAAGGAAGGAGCATGGTGCCGATCAGATAAACTAAGATCGAGAACAGTTGAATCCATACCGCGACCCGCAACTCTTAACAGATATAAATTCCTTAATAAGCTCTGGTTTCTCTGTCGTTATCTCAAACCCTTCGTGCCCCTTGTTGGGCACCTAAAAGGACTGTCGTGGTTTAACCCTGCTGGCAACTAAGCGCCACGCAGCCGCTCGCTCACTCCCCCCCTCCCTCAGTGGGAGGGGGGGAGAATCGGGGAAACAAGTAAGAGCCATGGGCTGGGAGAGGGACAGTTTAATAAGAGAAAAGAACAGCAATAATAATAATGAGAATGGTAAGAGAATATACAGAAAATACAAAACAAGCGATGCACAATGCACTTGCTCACCACCCGCTGACCGATGCCCAGCCCGTCCCGAGCAGCGATCACTCTCCCCCTGGGCGAACTCCCCGCCCCAAGCATGACGTTAGGTGGTCTGGAATAGCCCTTTGGCCAGGTGGGGTCAGCTGTCCTGCTGTGCTCCCTCCCAGCTTCTTGTACACCTGGCCGAGCAGGGGAAGCTGAAAAAGTCCTTGACTAGTCTAGGCATTACTTAGCAACACCTAAAACATCAGTGAGTTATCAACATTCTTCTAGTACTAAATCGAAAACCCAGCGCTATGCCAGCTACTAGGCAGAAAATTAACTCTGTCCCTGACGAAACCAGGACAGAGGGAATGGTTGGAGAAGTGGAAGAAAAGCTGCTTGGTGTTTCCCCTGCAAGTAAAATACATTCAGAGAAAGGATCGACCTTTGTCAGTGACAGGAGGCAGAGCAAACCAGTCCAGTGAACAGCTGCTGTGGTGGTGTGTTGACAGGAATGTCTCGACAGGCACGACTGAAGAGATTTTAAGTACCGGGGAAACAATACGAGACATTGATAACTCTGTCTGTGTTCAAGCTCAGAGACTTTCGCTCGCCCTTACCTGGGTGGTGGGGTGTTGCCAGAAGGGGTAGACTGACTGCAACCTGCAGCGCCTGACAAAGTTGTTCCAGCCGATACTGCAATCACAAACCAAAAGAGAAGAAACTGTAACCTGTGTCACCAAGGCTTGCTGGCAGCAGGCAAAGCGACATAAGGATCAAAACGAGGGAGGGGGGATGGACAAGGATGTCAGGAGGAGCCCCGCTCTGTGTGTGCCCACGCCGAGGCATGGCAGAAGGAGGTGCTGTAAGTGCAAGCAGGTATGCCCCATGGCAAAGGTCTTCAGGTAGCAATGAAGGACTTGACGACCCTGTGCCTAATCAGCCAGAGGCTTGCCCAAGAAAACTAAGGAAAGAGCAGTGGAAGGACTGAGCAAACTAAGGACTGAGCTGTAAGAATTGCTTCCAGGACTGTTCCTGTGCCCCGGGGGACGTTGTGTGTGCAGGAGCCTGCTCACTTGCTTCCAGGCCGGTTCCTGTGCCCCGGGGGACGTTGTGTGTGCAGGAGCCTGCTCACTTAGGGGCTGCCTGCAGTCCCCCGTGTTAGGATTCTCTCCTAGAGAATTATGCCATCCCCTCTCATCTTCTGCATTGCCACATCCCTTCAGTGCTGCTCTGCCAAATTCCAGACAGACGGGCTGCAGCATGGTGCTGCTCTGCCACAACCGGCTGCCTAAGTGTTACCACGCAGCGCTAAAACATCACGCTGGAAGAAAACCTAGGAGTCACAGATCTTTCCAATATGGGTGTAGAGGTTGTCCTCCCGGCAAGCACACGGGAAGGTCTTCAGAGTCTTTGCAAGCCAAGGGATGGGTTGCTGTAAAGGGGCAGAACTGGTATCATGGCAAGGAGGGACAGCAACAGCTCTGTGAAAACGACTGAGGCTGCTCTTGGGTGCAAGAGAAGCAATACAGCCCATGCCTGGGGTTCAGTTCTGATCCCTGTTGCTATTCCGTAGCATGGCTGGTGTGAGAAGGTACGGTGACGTTGGGTTTGGGCAGGGAAACGCGTG